TACTTAAGTACAATAACGAAGTACCACCCATCTCCGAGCCACACCTTTTGTAAATGAGCCTGTTACAGCTATTAAATGTGGAAAATTAAACTTTTTTGGTGATTGTTGATCTAGGCAGTCCAGAGATTACAATCCTGGTTTTGTGGTTTTGAGTAACAACAGCTTTAGTGTCAACATTTTTAGTATTATGTGTGCCTTTGCAAAATAATTAAAACTGATTGAACACTAGAAACACATAAAATCCCCCTAGTCTAGTGGCCAAATTCTTTCAAAACTGATTTGACCTCTAAGACCATGTGTCATACATGCCCACCTAGTTTTGTTCTGATTGGCCATTGTTAACTTTGTTTATTGGGTCCTTAAATTTTATTTGACTAATGGGTACAATAATGTAATGTCTCCTTGGAAAAAGACACAGCGTTTCAAAACCAAACCGATCAGACTATAGTTTTTTTTTTTTTTACAATATAGCACCACCATGGGGTCAAAGTTTGCAAGTTTTTTTTTACTGTGATCTCAAATTGACCTATACATCCATGTACTAACTTTGGTGATGATATCTCATTCCGTTCAAAGGTTAGCTTCAATAAACTTTTGGCTAAAGTTAGCATGAAACTTTTTGTGTACTGTTTTGTGCAGAAATCAAAATTTTACCTTTTTTCAATAATTATTCATATTCAGTGCCCAGAGAATGTTTCTGCACTGGATTGGTTATAATTGGGTGAAAACTCTAGGACTAGTTTCCAAAGTAGGTTTCAGACATAACTTAAATTAGTGGAAAAATGGTGTATCAGAGAATATCTGCACACATACACTTTTGTTGGGACTGACCCAATGATCATAACGATGTAAAATATTTAAGTCTATGTATTTGTAAGTGCTATGGTTTTAAATGTCTGAAATTTGACGATTTGGATGAGTCATGGTATCTGAGTAGGGGTTACCTCTACTGGCCATTTTACCAAGTTGTAAGTTTTTAGGCCTTATGGTTTGGTCTGACCATCCCTCATTACAGCTTAAAAAATATTAATAAAAACAAATACAATAATGTTATAAGTGAAGCTCCGGTCTTCTCCCTTGCACCTTGCGCACCACCAGAGGGAACTATCACCCGATTTCTAGTCAGCACAATTTGAAATCAAATCCCCATTAGCCTTCCTGCCTGGGACTGATTGTGATGGCAAGTTCATCCAATTTGTATTCATGCACATCAGCCTCGGTTTCTGAAAAAATTATTTCATCTGTGATTGTTCTCTACCTGCCCTGAACCTTGCCTGTTTATCAACCTGCTTTTAGATTTTCCTTCTGTTTACTGATTACTGTCATCTGTACAATTAATAAAGCATAGCTTCTGACTTATCACAACAAATAGGCTTTTAGCGCTAAATGGCTTAAACCTCTAAGTATTATTAAAAATGATAAAAAAGTAAACTTTAAGTAATATGTGTTTTACAAATAGTACACTTTATGACAAGTGATCATTTATTTAATTGGTATTTTATTATGCTAATTTTAAAAAAGGCCTTGTACATGTAATAAAGAAAGTACAAGTTTTAAGGTACAAACTAGTTAAAGTTTACTTTCAGAATTTTGAATAATATTTTGTCAGGTATTAAAATAAATCCACATTGTAAAGTACATATTACATTTGTCACGGTTGCAGGTTTGTGTGCTCTTCCGGAGTGTCTGTTTGATCATGTGGGTTTGTTTTGTTTTTGTTGCCCACGCGTATTTGTTTTGGTCACATGTTTTGACGGCACTCAATTAGTTTGATTAGTTCACCAGCTGATGCTCATTATCGTGCCTATATATGTGCGACGTTTTCTGTGTTTCCTTGTCAGTTCGTTACGTGTGCTTATGTGTTTATTTGTCTGTGCTTAGGACCGTGCGGAGTTACCACCAGACCCTGTTTTCCCGTCTGATCCCTGCTCTGATTTCTTCTAGCCCTAGCACCGCACTCTCTTGTTACAAGTTATCTTGACTCTGTCAATAAATATTCTTTCACTTGCACTTGGATCCATCTGGACATTCTTTGTTTGTGACAACATTAACGGCAGTTTTACCACCAACTGCCTGCTTGATCCACTTCCTACATGCTTAGTTAAGACCTGTCTTCCATCATTGTCCACACTGATTACTTACATTATTCACATATCACTGGATTCTGGATCTGTCCCATCTTTACTTAAAACTGCTGTAATCACCCCAGTACTTAAAAAACCTGGAGCTGATTCATCCAATTTGGCCAACTATAGACCAATTTCCAATTTGCCATTTGTCTCAAAAATATTGGAAAAATGTGTTACGTCTCAACTCCATAAATATCTTGCTAATAACAATTTGTTTGAGCTCTTCCAGTCTGGTTTTCGTCCCAACTACAGCACTGAGACTGCTCTTGTCAGGATTACTAATCCTGACAAGACTGATCTACTACTGGCAGCAGACTCTGGTTTACTGTCAATTCTTATTCCCCTGGACCTGAGTGCAGCCTTTGACACGGTTTCGCACAAGGTTCTTTTGTATAGGCTTGTCTCACTAGGGATCTCTGGCACCCCTCTTTTATGGTTTAAGTCATATCTTGCAGATCATACTCAGTTTGTTCAAATTAAAGATTTTAAGTCAAGATCGCAGATTGTCACTAATGGTGTCCCACAGGGTTCTGTACTTGGTTCACTCCTGTTCTACTGCCTCTTGGTCACATTTTCAGAAAATACAACATATAATTTCACTGTTATGCTGACGACACTCAACTCTACCTGTCCACCAAGCCCTCCTGTTCTTTTCCTCCTCCTGCTTTGAGCAGATGTTTAGCTGAAATAAAAATCTGGCTTTCAGCTAACTTTTTAAAATTAAACAGCGACAAAACTGAAGCCCTTCTCATCGGCACTAAAAGTGTTTTGGATAAAGCTGATAATTTCACTATAGACATTGATAACAGAACAATTGTTCCCTCCATGCAGGTAAAGAGTTTGGGTGTCATCTTGGATAGCACACTCTCATTTGAAGGTCACATTAATAATATTACACGTACTGCATATTTCCACCTGCCTAATATCACTCGTCTCCGCCCTTCTCTCACTAATAACACAGCCATTCTTATCCACGCATTAGTTACTTCACGTCTTGACTACTGTAATGCACTTCTTTCTGGACTTCCGTCCAAACTTCTCCATAAACTCCAACTGGTTCAGAACCATGCAGCTCGTTTCATTTCTAGGACCCCATCTCACGAGCACGTCACCCCACTCCTCTATCAGATTCATTGGCTTCCAGTAAAGTATCGAATTGATTTTAAAATATTACTTCCAACTTTTAAGGCACTTCATAATTTCGCTTCTCAATATCTCACTGAACTTCTCCATATCTACACCCCTTCTCGTACCCTTAGATCAGCCAACAACTTCACCCTGGCACCACCTCGCACTCGATTGAGCACAATGGGAGACAGATCTTTTAGCTCTATGGCTCCTAGGCTAAGGAACTCACTTTCAGTACATCTTAGGAGCAGTGATAGTCTTCACAATTTTAAATCACGTATAAAGACCCATCTTTTTAAGCAGGCTTTTAATTAACAATTTTTTTATCATGTTTTTATTATGTTCTTTTGTATTCACTTATGCGTTTTAACTTGTTTGGTCAATGATTGTTTTTAGTATAGTTTAATTTGTTTTGCATGTCTGCTGATGCTTATTATAAGGCGACCTTGGGTGTCTAGAAAGGCGCCATTTACAAATAAAATGAATTATTATTATTATTATTATTATTATTTTTAAGATTTAACATTTTTACAGTTTTTAAAATGAAAATGTAAAACATTTAAATAATATTTTTAAATATTTCATAATAAATTAATTAATTCTTCATTCATTTTCCGTTGACTTAATCCTTTATTTATCAGGGGTCGCAGCGGATGTCCTTCCAGCAATCCAGTACAGGCATGCAATCAGCCGAGGACCACACAATTTAAGGTTACACAATTTTAGCTACATTTTTTTTTTTATCAGTTTAAATATTTAGCAGTGTAATAGTCACCAAAGTAATATTTAAAAGGTTTATACTTCAATGTCAGATCTACACATCCTCACTAGATGACGCCTCTAACTTGGTTAGTTGTGTCAACAGAATTTTCTCATTATCTAGTAGACTCTTTATTAGGCATAATGAATAATCTACTAATTAGACAATAACTAAAACTGTAAAAATAATAATTTCTTTAACATTCCACCCTAAAAATCATACATTGCTGGGTCCCTGCATTTTAATAGTTTTAATTAATTACAAAATATATTATTTATAAATTGGTAATATCTTAACTTACTAAACTTTCAGGTATTACATTTCAGGTGCTAGGCTGTAGCACTGAATAATTGAAGACATAAGGACAGACGACTTGCAGAGCATAATAACAAATGTGCGTCCTGGCTTTATTTATAATGTACACAGAGCGCATGGTCGTGACATGCAAATGTGAGAGCAAAAACAGTGCACAGCCACATAATTTACTTATACGGCATGTCTTTGGACTGTGGGGGAAACCAGAGCACTTGGAGGAAACCCATGTGAACATGGAGAGAACATGCAAGCTTCACACAGAAATGCCTACTGACCCAGCCGGGACTTAAATCATCAAATTTCTTGCTGTGACGCAAAAGTGCTCACTACTGAGCCTCCATGCCGCCTTAATTAATTAATTATAAAAAGATCAAATTTATGTAATAACATTTTATTTGAAAATAAATATTGGTCAGTACACTGGCATCATGTTTTTAACATATTTCAAAAACTAAAATAGAACAATGAAATTACATAATTTTTTTTTTTTTAACAAATACATGTTCTTTATTTCTTCAACAGTGCAATGTCAGTTGCATTAAAAAGATATTTCCAGACTTTTAAAAATACTGTGTGAATGTTCTTAAATAACGTTAATATATTGTCAAATACATAATTTTACAATTTGATATGTATACAATTTTTAAATGTCACTGTTTTAACCTTACCTCAGATTTCAGAAGCTTGTTGAAATTTGGAGTGATATAAAAGAGAACTCCATCTATTGCTCCAGGGAGAGTGACTCCACGAAAAAACAGAATAAACAGCATGAAGTAGGGATATGTGGCAGAGAAATAGACCACCTGAAAAGAACAAAAGATAAACAAAGAAAAAAGTTAATTTAAAATATGCAGAGACAATTAAATTATTTACTTGTTAGTAGAGTGATTTCACTGATTTCTCCTTGTTGATAAAGGTGCTGTATATAAGTTTGACTCTTCTAAACATAAAAATAACATACTATGTTTGCAGATATTTAGGAAACTTGCTTAAGTAAACATACTTGTTTATCTGAAAAACATTGCTGAAATCATTCATTCTGCTTTGAAAATGGAAAGCACAGGAACGAAAACTAGAACAGTTTGTTTTGGTCTCATTAACTCAATTAATTTTTAACTCAATTAATTTTTTTTAAACTCAATTAACCCAATTAAATTTTAGTACCCCTTGTGTTACCCTTGTGGAAAACTGCATATTTGATTCATTCAGTCAGGGAGGCTCTCAAAGTATGAGTCCAGTACACTCTAAAAACTGCTGGGTTGAAAACAACCCAATTTGGGTTGTTTTGGTAACCCAGCGCTGGGTAAAAAAGGGACAAACCCAACGCTGGGTTACTTTAACCCAGCAAGTTGGGTTACAAGTTTAACCCAGCATGCTGGGTTGTGATTTTAACCCAACTATTAGTTAAAAATTACTACACTGCTGGGTTGAATGTAACCCAAAATGGGTCAGAAATTTAATCTAGAAACTGATGATTAAAATCACTAAAATAAAAACAATTCTACAGCAATACATAGTTGTTCAGTAATGGAATTTTATTTATGACAAAAGATAAAATGTGTCCAAATGAATTTGAGATTTTCCCCATCTGCACCTCAGCATTAACCCTTAGACTGCCTGCTCTACCAAATGGTTGACCTCGTTTTTACTGTTTTAAATAATGACTGTTAAAGTCATAAGAAAAAAGATGATTTAGTGTTCAAAATATTTCTTTTAAATATATATATATATATATATATATATATATATATATATATATATATATATATATATATATATATATATATATATATATATATATATATATATATATATATATATATATATATATATATATATATATATATATATATATATATATATATATATATTTTTTTTTTTTTTTAATTGGTCTTACACATAATTTTTCATAATTCTGGTACTTTTACCATAAACATACATATCAATCATTTGGTAGAGGTTGATATTTTAGAAATTATAACATGTGTTAAAATGTACTGATTGTGTTCAATAGCGACATTAGCAGTTGAGAAATGCAATCCAATTTTTTTTCTTGAAAGGGTTGTTAAAGGGTTAAGACGATTTCTGTGAAAATTTATCAAACTGTATCACAGAAACACTGACTAAAGTTCAGTAACAATGCATCAGACTGAAATCAGACAAATTACCTTAAGAAAATGCATATTTGAAATACATTCAAAAACATTTGCATCATTTATAAATCAGGAATCATCAGTAAGGCAATTGCAATGTTATTGCAGAGTAGAGAAAAACAATAGTATAAGGAAGTAATAATGAAAATGCATCTAAATGACTGAAGTCAGAAAGTAATTTGAGCACAAACATCAACATATTCTCATATAAATCATCAACTGCAATGCAGAAAAAAATATGTGAAAGTAATAATGAAAAGGCATCAAACAGCTTGAAAAAACAAAACAAACAATAAAAACTAATAAAATACAAATTTTATATTAAGAAAAAATAAGAAAACATTTTATAACTTTCCCTTTAACAATTATGTGCAAACATCAATATATGAGCTATAAAGCAATCATCAGTAAGGATGATCAAGTTCAATGTAAATGCAGTTTTGAAGAAAAAACAGATATAAAAGTTAAAATGAAACCTGAGGATGGAAGCATTTTAAAACAAATTTGAAATAGGAAAACTTTTTTTAACTTTTACTCGAACAATTATGTGCAAACATCAATCCTGAGATATAAAAGAGTCTGTAAGAAACATTAGTTGCAATGTAACTGCAGTGTAGAGTGTCTTAAAAAATATCTAGTCCATTATTATGTGCCGTCATCATAGCAAAGAGAAAAGAAATCAGTTATTAGAAATGAGTTATTAAAACTATTCTTTAGAAATGGGTGTCATGGTGGCACAGTGGGTAGTATGATTGCCTCACAGCAACAAGGTCGGTGGTTTAAGCCTCAGCTGGGTCAGTTGGTGTTTCTGTGTGGAGTTTGCATGTTTTCCCCGTGTTCGTGTGGGTTTTCTCTGGGTGCTCCTTTTCCCCCACAATCCAAAGTACAAGTTAAAGAACACAGAATCCAAGGAAGCAGTGAGGTCACAGTATTAATGATTACTGTTTGTCAGCAAAAATTAATGCTAGCAGAACCCTTACTGCTAGTGTCTCCTCCCTAGGATGTCCATAAACCACAGTCTGCCACACCAGGGAACACTGCTTGGGGTAGTTCACACCAAAGATGTAGAATGCTTTATAGCAAACGTCCACTTTGGCAAGTAATGTACTTTGCAATAATAAATAGCACAGCACGTGAGCAAAGGCTTGAAAGAAGTGGTGGTCTCCAAGGATGAGAACATGAGGAAACTCAATAGATTCTTGAATTCAATGGATGAAGATACTCAGCAATATTGGTCCCAATCTGAAAAAATAAATAGAAGTAAGATTTATTAAAAACTCAAAAGTGTAAAAGTTAAATATCTTTAGAGTTAACTTTAGAACACCTAAATACCTTTAGAAGCAATTAAGGCCATAACACACCAAGCTATCAGCCAGTGTTGGCATTAGTTAACCACTGACCATGGCACCATGCTGCAATTTGTTGGCCCGAGTGAAGATGACAATGCAACAACAGGTTTGCCTAAGGAACTTTTTTTAATAAGTAATAGTAAGGCAAGATGAGCATTTGAAATTATTAAGTATTTAATTGTGTTTTCTTAATAAAAATAGATAAGACCCTTCTTCCTGAGCTGGGACTGTTTGCAACCGTATTTGTATAATTTGAAGCCGCATTTAAATTTTCTTTAAAAACTTCAAAAATGAGGCACAATCTCAGTTCAAGATGGATAAAATTGCTGAAATATTTTCCTAAAAAAAAATCTTTCTGACTGAAGAAAGAATGACATAAACATCTTGGGTGACATCTTTTTATGTTTTACGCAGCAGATGCCCTTTCAACTGCAACCCATCACACTCTCATTTACACACACACTATGGACAATTCAGCTTACCCAATTCAGCTACACCGCATGTCATTGGACTGTGGAGGGGAAACCCATCCAAGGCTCAAACCAGCGACCATCTTGCTGTGAGGCGACAGCACTACCCACTGCGCCCCCATGCCACCCTAATAACAAACATAAAAATAACATTTTCATTGTTAATAAAATAACTAAGACAATCATTATGCATTAAATGCATCATTATGCATCGAGAAACCTTTAATTGAATCCTTACCCTCTGAATTGTATTCAAATTGACCTAAAAACGAGGAAAGGTTCGCTCCTGTGCTAAAAATAAAACAAGAGAATGTCACTGGTTGCATGAACAGCAGATTTAAAAAAATAACCAGACAAAAACAAATTGGCATTAGAGTTCAATCTCTCAGTTTAAAGTGTTGAAGTGGCTAATGATTACTAGGGCTGCCCCCTAATAATTGAATAACCATTAGTCAACTAAAAATTTATTATTCATTCATTCATTTTCTTTTTAGCTTTGTCGCTTTATTAATCTGGGGTAACCACAATGGAATGAACCACCAACATATCCAGCATAAGTTTTATGCAGCGAATGCCCTTTCAGCTGCAACCCATCACTGGGAAACAAATACTCATTCACACACATACACCATTGACAATTTAGTCTACTTAATTCACCTTTACCACGTCTTTGGAAACCGGGGCACCTGGAGGAAACCCACGCGAACACGGGGAGAACATGCAAACTCCACACAGAAAGGCCTATTGACCCAGCCAAGGATCGATCAAGTGACCTTGTTGCTATGAGGCGAATGTGCTACCCACTAGTTGCAGAAAAAAAGTCCACACTGGCAAAGTCAATGTATGCTGCATGAATCCGCTGTGTAAAAAATATGCTGGATAAGTTGGCGGTTCATTCCGCTGTGGCGACCCCAGATTAATAAAGGGACTGAGTCAAAAAGAAAATGAATTAATGAATAAATGGTTTATTAATAAATCTGTAATTATTCAACTAATGCTTCAAATGAACATCACAAGTCAACCAGACAAATGTTTAGACAAGGGCAGCCCTAATGATTACAATGAACCAAGTAAAATATTATTACATACCTTCAAATGTGGGGATTAAGTCCTCAAGATTGCATTCTTTTAGTTTGATTTTCACGCAATTATCCATCTGAAAAAGAATAACAGATAAAAGCGTTTAAGCAAAATTAAGTAAAAAAAGATCATGTTAGCCAAAAGTCACTATATCACAAAAATACTCCTAAATGATAATAATTATCCAGGGTGTCACATAAAACGGTGGTCAAACTTTTTCTTTTTGCAGTCGAAGATGATTAGGTTGGAATTAGCCTTAGCTCAGACATTTCCGTTAGCATGAAACGACCCTTACATACAGGATTAATTAAAGATAGCTCAAATCACGTCTAGAATGTAAAATGCTCATAGTAAATTAATAACATTTGCTATTCAATGTACAGATGTACAGCTAAACAAAATGTACATGCAGAGCAGGACAATTATTGTATATATTTTGATTAAAAAAAAAACATTGTTAGAAGCTGAATTCAACACTTATGCATAAAAGTATTGTCACAAAAATCCATGAACAAACTTAAGAAATACAAGAGTAAAAATACTACTTACTGCTTTACAGTTAACACCCCAGAAAGATCACAAATCACAGTAACGTTACTTACTGTCATCACCTAGCCAACATAAAAATCTGTGTCATTCAAAAGGCATTTTATTACAATAAAAAGCTCCTAAATTATCCTAGGTGTTGTGTTTATAAAGTGGTCATCAAACATGCTTCACGTTAGTTTCATTAGTTACCTTATACTTTTCGAGCTCCTTCCGATGCCATGCGCGCTTACCCGTCCACCGATCAACAGGCTGGGCGTGAGGCGGAGCAACAGGTCGGGCGTGAGGCGAGCACAGGTCAGGCGTTAGGCGGAGCAACAGCTCGGGCGTTAGGCGGAGAAACAGGTCCGGAGAAACAGGTCGCCGTTAGGCGGAGAAACAGGTCCGGAGAAACAGGTCCGCAGAAACAGGTCGCCGTTAGGCGGAGAAACAGATCCGGAGAAACAGGTGGCTCGTCAGGCGGACTCGGAGCAACAGTTCAGCCATAAGGCGAGCACAGGTCAGCGTGAGGCGGAGCAACAAGTCGGCCATCAGGCGGAGAAACAGAAAAAAAAGCACGTGTATATTATACTAAGTAAACTAAGTGTGTTATTTCTTATGAAAATTGTTAAATACACACTAAATAACTTACGTCTCACACAGAATTTCACTCGCTTCCCCTCAAAGACAGCGCAAAGAAAATGGCGGTTTCTCACGTTGATGTCCCTGCATGTTGACGTGACGTGCGTGCTCTCTTTCACGTCCGCGTTCCCAACCCAGCACTGCTGGGTTATAGATAAAGATCGATTTTCAACCCAAATTGGGTTGAATCAACCCAATTTTGTTACCCAGCAGTCTCAACCAAGCATTTGGGTTAAAAAACCAACCCAGCGTTTTTTAGAGTGTATGTGTCTGCAATTGAAAATGCAACCTTTGGTGGACAGGAACAGCCACTGAAATTAGACATTGATTCAGAGTTCCCCATGAGTTGGTTATATTGATTTTTTTTGCATCAGACACAACATGACAGAAATTTAAATACAGCCATTCAGTAGCACAGAATGTATATGCACTCACTGCCCTCCATCAAATTGGTAAGGTTTCTAATGTAATTAATACATATTAAACCTCTTTAATATTATAAAAAAGTTGTTGGCTTCCACTGAGTTACAGTCTTTTTAGTAGCATTGCAATAAATATTAAGTAAAATGCCATTTAAACTCACATTATTAGTATTTAACACTAAATAAAGCACACAAGGCATACCTGAGGTGATCATTGTCATATTTTTCTGTTATTCGGCTGCAAGAAATAATTTTCTAAAATATAAATTTCAGGTGTTAGTTAGGACAAATCTCCTTTTAATATGGAAAATATATTTTTTTCTATTACATGCTGTTGCTTTTACTTAGAACACAATTAAAATCACCACTCTGCCACCACAACCCTCCAAATCGGGATGGAGGTTGCATCAATCTTACTATACGTAAGAAACATCTCCATCCCAGGGGGGCAGTTAATTGCTGTAAATGGACTGTTAAATGTCTTTAAGATTAACCACCTAGAGAGCAAATACTTTCCACTGGTTTGTGGATGCAATTGCTTTTGATTATTAATCTTAAGACAAGCTGTACACCTGGGAGTGAGAGTGCACTCTAAAAGAAATGATGCCTCCTCCTGGACGTTAGTGCTCCTCAGACATATGTAGAGCAGTAAGCTGGGCAACACCATTTTGCAAGACATTTACAAAGTTCTGTGGTCTTTGAGTGGAGTTTTTGAGTGCTTGCTGCACTATGCTCCCTAACCCAAAGATGCATGCACATATATTGTGAAAACCATTGTACAATGATGAGCAAAGGTATTCTTTATTTACTTGTGTTACGATTATCATTGTCAGATCATTAGCGAGCACTCCAGCTATCTGTATCTTATCTGCTATTCACATGGACCACAACTACCATCAATACCCACTATAACTTTAAACAATCTGAACTGACAAACTCACACACAGCTGAATGTTATTTGTACTTATTATACTCTCTATATTAACTCCATTTTTCATATGTATCCATTGCTAAGTCTTGTGTAACCCCCATAAAATAATGAATGGGAGTAGATAAAACAGATAAGATAGAAAAAATAGATAAGACAAATAAAATTAGATAAAACAGATAAAATAATAAATAAATATACACCTCATCATCATTATTAAAGTGTTAAAGTGTTGATGCTAAAATAAGTATAAAATAAAATGTATAAAAAATGTTAAAACATGTATATGTGAGTTATAATTCTCTGATTGGGTGTCAGGCTGTCAGCAGTCTTAAGTCAGCAAATGAGAGCGCTGGATGCTCATCTCCGCCCCCTTGTGGTTGCGGATATTGCAAAAAAATCGGAAGAGACACACAGCGTGACAGAAAGGAAAACCGAGTGATTATAAAGTAAATATAGCGAAAATACATTAGTTAAAACTTTTAAAACCAATATAATGTTAAAAATATAATTCTATAGCATGAGGATGGCGAGGGATTGAGTAGATATATGCTGATTTGAGCGTGATGGATGCATTTTGACTCGGTGAGTTCATCATTAGCTTACTGCTAAAATAATAGAAACTAGTGATGGTGAAATTAAGCTTTCTGAACCAGTGAAGCGCTCGACTCAATTGTATCGGAAAAAGGTTCGTTACTGGAAGCTTGCTAAATCAGAGCTCGATGATGACCTCTTCTGGTGAAAGTGTGGGAAAGCACTGTGTTGCCATAATGTCAAATGTTCACAACTGACCAACTCATTCATGTAGTAATACAACAACAGCAATATAAACAAATTACTCAATTACTGTAGTTTTTACACAAGATATATTACATTACACAACTGATGATTGTTGTAAAATCCAAGGTATTCAAAAGTTTATCATAATACAATTAGTCCCGCTCCAAGCAGGGATCGACCCAGCAATTCCTGATTGGGAGGCGAGTGCTCTAGGAGGACACTATGTGAACGATGCTTTAGGATCGCATTCACCAGATGGTCTCTGTTAAACACAATACTACGATATGCGGTGGTTTTCTTTAAAGATAGTCATAAAAAATACGCTAATACACTTTAGTATTGTTCAAAACTTTTTTACTAAAAATACTATTGTAGTTTAGTTTAATTACTGCTGTGTGGGACTGGTGCAGTGCTTTGAAACAAATGTATGTAATAGACGCCAATTCTCTCGCTATACACTTTACTATGAGGGTGTTTAAACCTTTGAATCAAAGTTCGAAGCAGTCACGTGGGTAAAGGCGAAAATGAAGCTTCGGACATCACTGATCACGTGATGATGGCAAAACGAATCAAGCTCCGGTACACTGCTTCACTGCGAGATGTATCGTTTTTTTGATACATGCTTCGAAGCCTCGGCGCACAACGTCACATCACTAATAGAAACATATTGAGTGACAACATGTTGAATGTGATAATACTTTATTAGTTTCATGTTTAAGAAGTGATAGGAAGTTGTATCTTTCTGTTTAATGGAAGAATTATCCATTATCACAAGGTTATAAAACTGCATGGTGTTTTATTATTTACTACAGCTCATAGACATCACTGTGGTCACATGTACCTGATAGGAATTAAAAAAAGAATACATTAGAAGAACAGGTAACTGAAATTAATGTTATTTGTTATGACAATATTTTTTGTATATGTTTTGATGCTATTTTATTCTTTATGTATATATTTTTTTATCATATTGTGATACTGAATATTTGCTCTGGTCTGTGAAAACAGGCCAGGTTATATTTCGTTGCTGGATTTTGGAATTCTTGCAATTCTCGGTTGATGGCGAGCCTCCCAAGTGCAGTTTCAGTGGACCTACAGGAAAGGACTGATTTCTAGGGAAAAAGGACACTTGCTTTTTCTACTATTTCCCTTCACTCAAGTAAGAGGATTTGATCCTTAAGACTGTTTCTCTTTTTTTTTTCCAAGAGGACATTTTGTGAGTACCCAAAAGACAGTTGAAAGTAAATAATTCATTTATTTTATTTTGATCTTCCTGGATTTGAAACTTGATATATTTGGAAAAATTTTATTTGGTTACATGTAACAAAACAATTTGGAAATTGTTGATTTATTTCAACTCTCATCTATTTGTTTTAATTGTGAATTTAACCAAATTTACAACGTCATATAAAGGGTGCACCCGGGGTATATTTTTACTTAGTGTTTATATTATTGTTATTTCTTTTGTGTGTGTATATAATACAGAACAACGTTGTGCAACTTACCCTTTCGTCTCTGTGAGTTACTCAGCATCACCACTACCTCCTTTCCCGTTCTTAGTAATCTTCTGATTTTAATTGTTTGGTCCTTTAAGGTTTAATACCCGTTACACTTGTTACTGTTTATGCGCTTTTCTAAGTGTTTACCTGTTGGTCTGTCGGAGCTTGATCCCTAGACTGTGTTTCCAGTTTTTGATCGTTTTCTGCCTGCCCTGACCCTAGCCTGTTATCTGGATTACTCTCTGGATTTTCTTTGTTGTTCTCTGTGCTCCTGTTTACCCTTGCCTGTTCGACAATCCCATTTTATAACAAAGCTGCATTTGGAACTACCTCTATTGTTAGCGTGTCCTGTCATAACAAGTTGCCATGTGTTTTTATTGGAAATATCTGTGTTGATAAACACTCTACAAATCTATATCATCCTTAATGTTGCTGTCACAGTGTAAGTATCTGGCCATATGTGACTAATTGACAAGCTGCATAGTTATGTATATTCAACAGGATGTCTAAAGAGGGCCATCACAATATACTGTAACTTTGTAAAATTGGGAACAATGAAAGGTTGAAAATACAAATGTTGGCATGCATACCTTTCCTGTCCACTCCACCCCTTTCCAGATTGAGAAATAGACAAGAATCCAGGACAATGCCAAAGTTCCAACCAATGGCCATCGCAATTCACCAGGTTCTTCCAAACCATTTGTTAACTGGTGCATGTTCCTCCTGTAAAGATGAATGTGATAGGTAAAGTATATATATATATATATATATATATATATATATATATAACAAACTCCCAGAACAAACTCCCAGAACTCTTTTCACCCCTCAACTTCTGCAACAGCTGACAAAAATTCGGACACACAGACACAGCTGTAGCTCATCTTCACTGATTACATGGACAATATTTACCACACACTTTCATGGACACTTGGCTGAGTCTTGTTTTTCCTATGAATTTGAATATGAGATTCCTATGAACTGTTTTTCCCTGTTTGTTTTGATCCTTGTCTAGTTGAGCATTTTGATTCTTTGCTGTCTAGCCTTTCGCCTGTTTTTGAGCTTTGACAGCACAACTACCATTTATAAACTGCATGTGGATCTGCATGTCTGTTGTCCAGCATCTACTTCATAACAATATATAGCCCTATAAATTATTTCCAACCAGCCAAAGTGGCTGTTATGAGTGTCTGACTAACCCACCACAGCAGAAATCGTCTCGGGTTATGTATGTAACCATAGTTTCCCCAGAGGGAACGAGACACTGCGTCTAACCAGAACGCTAGGAGGAACACCTCTTTTATACGCGTCTTGAAGCACATGTGAAGCAGAGAGTATGGCGGAAGACGCAGTGTCTCGTTCCCTCTCGGGGAACTATGGTTACATACGTAACCCGAGACGTTCCCCATCTAGGGAACTTCTACACTGCGTCTAACCAGAACGATAGGGGAACGCAATACCCACTAGGCCAGACTCACTCTGACCATGAAGAATGCACACTCAAGAAGTGAGACTGAAAAGTCCAGCTGGTCGTGATGCACAGAAGTATGTGGAGTTGACCAGCCTACCACCATACAATGTCAGAGAGGGCAGTGCCCGATAAAGGCTCTGGGAGCCATGAGAAGAACCACTAGAGAAAAAGCTCTAAGGTTAATGATGCCAACAATCTGTTTTTAATGTTATTCAGATAGCATTAGCTAGTCTGCAAGTCTTTCCCCGGTCAGCATACAGTATATATTCAGCAAGAAGCTGTTTAAGGACCAGATAACTATCTGAAACCTCCTGCTAGGCTTAAGTGGGAAGACAGAGATGCGTTTGAGCCCTACTGTTAAAACCCAAGACAATGTCCCATTTGTGCTAAGAGGTCTTAGCCTTACGGCTACTCAGAGGAAGTTTTGAATTGGTCTCTGCCCAGAGACTCAACATCTATGGGAGAAGTTAAGTTGGTACTGCTGCTACGTACACATTGGTGTAAAGGCAGCTAGCCCTACTGACAGACAGTCTCCTGGTAGCTTTTTGGGTTCAGTTGGTGTTTAGTGCACCAAGCTTAGAGAAGTGCCCATTCAAGAGAGTAGAGCTTCCTTTTGAGTGGTGTCCTGGAACTCAGTGTGGTCGCGCAACCTCGGTTGACATTCATACTTTAGGGAATTGGCCCCCTCGGGGGCCACAACCGTCCAGGACTTCTGGGAGCAGAGCAACCAAGGGAAAAACTGTACAGACGACCTCGGCCACGTCCAGTCTGCTTGGTGTTGGATACGAGAGAGACAAATCGTAGCATGAAATGCATGGTCTCCTGCATTTTTCCAGCTCTCACCTCAACAGGAGGTGTGCTCCCATGCCAAAAACCAGAGTTTTTCCACATACTTAAGGCTCGAAGGCAGCACCGTGAGACCTAGATCATGCAGAAAAGATTCTCCCCAGGGGAACAAACTCTGGATTGTGCCACCACTGCTGCAGACAGAAACATGATGGCCCCTTATGGCTGGGAGATATGTATTAGGGCCAGATAACTGGCTAGAACAATGATATTATCTGCAGGCATTAGATGTGCCACAGGAGATGATTTTCTCCCTATTGTCCCACTTTGGAAAGGCCTCTCAAGGTCCCTACCAAACCCATAAGAAAAGAGTCTATCATAAGCATGACGTGATGACAGACAGCTTCTAAGACTGGGTCCTGGGACAGGAACCAGGGCTCTTTTTCACATAATTAAGGCTTGTAGTTAGTGCCGCGAGAACTTGATCATGTGGAAAGGGTTTCCCTCTGGGGTACAAACCCTGGATTGAGCAACCTCTGCAGGGATCTTATGCACATAGGGCTGAACATAATGGTGTTGGCTGCTAATGTGATAAGACTCAACAGTCTATGCAACTGTTAACATGGGGCTCCACAGGAGGATCCAATGTGCCAATGTGCAAAGCAGTTGGGAATTTAGACCCCCTGTTAAGCGGCCAACAATATATTGTCTTTGCGGACAAGGGAATGAAGGCCTCTTATGTCTGGGAGAAAGTGTTTCAAGGCCAGAGAGCTGGCTAGAACACAGATTTCATCTGCAGGCATTAAATGTGCCATAGGAGATGATATTCTCCCTATTGTCCCACTTTGGGTAGACCTCTCAAGGTCACTACCAAACCCATAAGAAAAAGAGTCTATCATAAGCATGACGCGATGACAGACAGCTTCTAAGACTGGGTCCTAAGATAGGAACCAGGGCTCTTTTTCACATACTTAAGGCTCGTAGGCAGCGCCGCGAGAACTTGATAATGTGGAAATGTTTCCCCTCAGGGGAACAAACCCTGGATTGAGCAACCTTTGTAAGGGTCTCATGTACATGGACAGGAACCAGGGTTTTTCCCACAAACTTAAGGCAGCGTGCCGCGAGACCTTGTACATGTGGAAGAATTCCAGTTGAAGGAAAACAAATCCCTCGATTAAAGCCACTACTGCAGGGGTCTCATGATCAGCAGCCCAAATGGAATCGCACTGGATGCTGCTGCTGCCATGGGACCTAACAGTTTCCGAAACTGTTTTACAGTGATGGATTGGCCTTGTTCGACTCTGTGTATGGCTTACTGAATCAAAGTGATTCATGGCAGGGACAGACGTGTTTGCATTAAAGTAGTTCCATGGCACACCTAACAAGTTGGAAGCACACCTTTTGATGTGTTCAGCCGAAACCTCAACCTTCTGATATGGGTGAGAACGACAACTCGATGTCGATCCTCCATATCATAAGACTGAGCTAGAATCAGCCAACTGTCTAAATAATTTGGGATACGAATATCCTGTATACAAAGTGGACGAAGGTTTGAGGTGACAGAGCTACGCCGAATGGAAGAACCCGATACTGGAAACGATTTGCCCCCGAAAGCAAATCTCAAGTACCTCCTGTGTTGGGGGAAGGATTGATATATGGGACACTACTAACTTAGATTTTTAAAATCTAAAATTGAACACAGCCCCCATCCTCTTTCTAGAGTCTGTTCTGGCTTTACCACAGTAGGTGTAACACCGCTGAAGTTCTCAGACTAGCTGGCTTTGTGGAAAGGTCAGATTGTGATTGCCATTTCAAGCCCCATGCTCTTTTCTTTTGAGGGGGAGCTCGAGAGGCAACGCTTTAATTAATTAATTTATTTTCTTGTCGGCTCCAGGGTCGCCACAGCGGAATGAACCACCAACTTATCCAGCAAGTTTTTACGCAGCAGATGCCCTTCCAGCCACAACCCATCTCTGGGAAACATCCACACACACACTCATACACTATGGACAATTTAGCCTACCCAATTCACCTGTCCCACATGTCTGTGGGGGAAACCGGAGCACCCGGAGGAAACCCATGCGAAGGCAGGGAGAACATGCAAACTCCACACAGAAACACCAACTGAGCCGAGGTTCGAACCAGCAACCCAGCGACCTTTTTGCTGTGAGGCGACTGCACTACCTACTGCGCCACTGCCTCACCCCATCCATAAATTGTTTTATTAAATCAGCTTGAAAGGCATCTAACTGACTGCCCAGCCGTCGAAAAAGCCTTACCAACCAAACTAGATGTTATACGTAATGGTTTGGTGGCTAAAGGAGGCACTGCATTCTGAATAACTGGCTGCAGATGGCGTACCAGTTCCTCTTCAACTTAGGGCATTATCTTGCATGCTCTTTCATTCAGCTCTTGCACTGATGAGTAAATTTGTGTTCTAGGAGTTATACATCTAGATCAGGGATGGGCAAACTTGATCCTCAAGGGCCAGTGTCCCTGCAGAGTATTGTTCCAACACTAGTCAAACACACCTGAACAAACTAATCAGTGTCTTCAAAATCACTTGAACTCTATAGGGAGGTCTGTTTGAATAGGGTTAGAGCTAAACTATGCAGGACACTGGCCTTCCAGGATCAAGTTTTCCCACACCTGCATCTGACGTGACCAGGGGAGGATTAGATCTGCCAGAGAGAGACAGAGAAAGGACGGCGTCCGTCTCCATCTCATCTGCCAGATCTACTTGCGAACCCCATGATCTGAGACGCCGCTGTGCCCTCAGCACGAGCAGGACTCGAACCATGAGGAGCGCGAGCCGCGGGGATTTCCTCGAAAAACGCCCAACGGCTTCGGATTATTTTCCAAAGAAAAGCATTACAGTGTGCACAATCAATAATATTCAATAAACATTTTTTTTTTACTAGGAGCATCACTAACTAAATGTGAAAAGCACTGAAAAATATTTTAAAAAATGGCAATAATTGTCCACATTTTGTGAGGAAATCTTAACATCAGATAAAATTAAATTAAAGGTCACTTACTCCCAGAACTCAGTGACAGCACTGGACAGGTTGGTGGTGTCCAGCAGGCTGTAGTTGGAAAAGCAGCGATCAGTGTTCCAAGGGTTATCACAGGTTTGCCATGGCAATTCCTAAAGAGAATTTTAAAAGGTGATTTGGACCACCTTATTGTTTTAATTATCTACACAAGCATATTTCCTATAATTGGTAAATTATAGCAGAGGTACAGCTGTGGATACTTGGGCATGCACACTAACACAGGGCATAATTTTTGTGACACTATGCAATAATAGTCTCTATTTTTACATCAATGTTATTGGTAGGTATAGGGTTGAGGTAGGAATAGACATCAATAAAACACAATGTAATAGATAATTTAGGAAATAATTTTAATTATTAATGTTAATTTTTAGCTGGAGCTGCATCCCTTCTATCAATAACCCTATAACTCGTGACATAAAATTAAATAAGTCTTAAGTGACTGAAATCTTTGAAAGTTTGCTGAAGCATTCAAAACATTGATAAAATTAAATAATAAGGTTTAGATAACCCAGTTGCCCCCCCCCCCTCCCACCCCCAATTAACTTTTGATCCCCCATTGAAGTACAGGGGGGATAATTTTCACTTAAATGTGTCTTAAATAACAATCTATAATAAAAAAATTATGGTTCTTACCATTGTCAATCCATGATCACACCATGATTGTCTCATTATGCAGAAAATATACAGTCTGTGGTCTGAAACTAGACTCTGAACACCAGCAGATCTAGCTACCGACAGAAATGCCTACTGTAAGTGTTCAAAAGACACTTTTCTTGCAAAATATATATATATATATATATATTTTTTTTTCATATTAAAACAGCCTAAAAGTAAAGTAAAATTTGACTACAGTTAGGAGCACAACAAAGTTTCTTTTCAAACTTCTCAACAATGGCAAATTTAGTTATTATGAATATCACATCTTTTAAAGTCATATGTAGGGTTCTGAAAATAAAAACGGGTGCTGGAAATCTGTGACAATGTTTGATTATAGTTTATTTTAATATAATGGTAGATTTTAGATAAAGTGCTTGAAAATGGCACTGTTTTGCTTTCATAATAATTTATTCTAAACACTTATCTATTGCAAAAAAAAAAAAGTGATTTTTTTGTTTGTTTTTACATAAAATGAAACCTCCACTGGAGTTAGTGCATGTGTCTGTTGCGTGATCCGTGTGGGAAGCACAATCACAGGTCATTTTTGTAGGAGAGGAGCTGCGCATTCTGGTCACATAAACAAACATTATGTTCATGCTGATAACTCAAGTGACTTTCCCTGTACTTTATCGACAACAAAACCTTTTTTATACACCTCTTATGTTGTAATGATTTAAATTGTGTTTGAAAAATTAAATATGATTAGCTAACAAAAAAATGGCTAAGAATAAACATATTAATCTGAATTTATCTTTTTTTTTTAACAAAACCCCTTTGTCTCAAGTTAAAGGTACATCTTGGTACCTAACGTGTACATATTTGCAACTAAAATGTAAACTAAATGTTTTCATAATTTCAATGTTAAGATTATAGTATTAGTGTTAACAACTTTTTTCAACCCTCTTTTTCATCCACTCTCTTCCTCCAATTTTATTGTCATACAAACTAGGGACCAAATAAAGAGTGTAAAGGATGAAACACTCACTGCTTTTAAAGAGCTGAAGAGGTAGTAGAGTGCCCAGGCAATGATAATGATGTAATAAATGTTGAGCCAGAAAGACAGAACCACAGCAGCCAGACCCACACCTAATATAGGAGGAGTTCAAGAGAGAAACAGATTGATGACTGTTGCAAGGTAAACATAGTTGCACAACATGTCTTAGAGCTAGTCCACCAAGGATAATATAAATGTAGCATGTGCACTGGAAATAAAGCAATAAAATGTTTATGTATGTAATGGAAATAATATATACTTTATCCAATTACATAATTTCTGGGTAAATATAAGTCAATTTAAGTCAAATAGGTATTGTTGGAATAATCTACCAACAATTGTAATAGATTTACCAGAGATGGGTTGCGGCTGGAAGGGCATCGGCTGCGTAAAAACTTGCTGGATAAGTTGGCGGTTCATTCCGCTGTAGCGACCCCGGATTAATAAAGAGACTAAGCCGACAAGAAAATGAATAAATGAATTGCAATAGATGGAGGTTTGTGTACTGTGGTATCAAGTGTAACGCTTTTTGGCCCTTACGATATCCGTATGGGGTGCATGCTCTCAGTAGATCCTTCACCTGCGCTACTCTAAAATAGTTGCATGTCTCCTGTATACTAGTAATACACGGTAAAAGAGTTCTGTTGCATGACCACTTTTCAACAAGCATATGCAAATCATCAGGCATGAACAAAGAGCCATAAAACGTGCTAGAAGGCAAATTTTTATTGGCTAGCTCAGCCCCTGAGTTAACGACTTCAGCAATCCTATTTAAGGAAGGCAGGGCCAGTTGACACCCTCTTACTTTTACTCCTCCTGAACCCTCTCTCCAACTCCTATTCACTCTTCATCCTGTACTGGCTCTTCAATCGTCACCAGCCAAAATGTGACCTAGGCCCTTTGGCCTTACCCAAGCTGAGGCCAGGCTTTGATACTGCGCACATCACTTGTTTTTACACACAAAACAAACTAATTGAATTCAAAGATAAAGAAAACAGTTTGTACTAATCCGTTATTGTAGTAAGATCAATTATATTTCCTGACCAGGAAATTACTTGATCTTTGATTTTATAGACAAATAAATTGTAGGCTCCAATAGACGAACAGTTCAATTTAATATAATTTTAATTTGGCTACCATTAATAATAAAGTCAACCCAACTATTCATAATTAAATTATAACTTGTTATTATTAATTATTAATAATCAGAATTTTATGAGATTAATTTGCTACAGAATGGTTGGTCAGCAATTGCTATTTACTTTAACGCCAGCAAAATTGTTTTAAATTCCTTGCTTATTGAATGAATAATGCGTCCATGAGTGCATGGTTGCACTGCTTTTTGAATATCGCTATGAGAACCTGAAAGTATGTGATTTAGTATTTATTGCATTGAGCTTATAAGGGTATGTCTAATAAGGGTTGCTATCTTTTAGTAAGGAAAACCAAGAGTTGACTGACTGTTGAAGAGTGCTGTGGAGCAACATCCATGATGCCGCTGCTTTGTAGTCTGAAATTCAGAAATTTTAATTTTATTTTGTTTTGCTTTCTTATGCTATGGGATTGGAAGTCCCATTAAATTTGCTGCTAATCACTGCTGTTATTCACTGCTATATTCCAAACTTTGCATTAGATGTATCAGCAATGATGCATGCTCTGTTTTCTGTGAACTTTAATTTGTTTTCCTTTTTTTTGTTCCTTTTTTCTTTTGTTTTTATGTAAGAATATTTGGTTTGCTGTGCAGTTGACTTTATTGTTTTTGTTTATTTGTTTGTTTGCAGTTTATATCCATACTGATTATTGGCCTTAAGAATTTATTTTATTATTTCATTTTTCATTAACCAATTTTTCAGATTATAAAGGATATTTTGAGTTCCTGTGTTTTCTTTCTTTTTTTTTTTTGTACATTAGAATTGTGATCTGTGTGGAAATTTGCTGTTGTAGGAGTCAGGGCATCAAGGCAGGCAATTGGTTGTCCCTAATGATTGGACGGGGGGTTATGATGTGAAAATTTAATGGTTAGTTGTACAGTACATACAAATCGAATGTGGTGGAAAGAATGTAGTTTTGTACTATTTCTATTTGTCACAATCACCAGCGCTCTAATTCTGGCAGATCACTGATAAACACACAGTTCGCTAACAGACTACAAATCTGTCATAATAGACTACAAGTTCCAGTCATGCACCGCTCACACACTGTTTATTGTTTTCTGATGCTGGCTGGACCAACCTCTTTGCCTGTTTTTGACTTCTTTTTTAGATTGTCCACATTATACTGTTTGCTTCTGTGATCGACCCTTGCCTGCCTGACCATTCCTGTTAATAAAGACTCTGCTATTGGATCCTCACCTCCGTTGTCAGCGTCTCTTCACATCACAGAAGACTCAGCCATACATGAACTCAGCAGAACAGGTCAGCCAGCTCATCCAAGAAGCTAACACACTCAAGGACTACATTAATTTTTGGACATAGCTAACAATTCAGATCTTCCGGAAATCTTCCTTTTTCATTTCTTTTAAAATAGACAAAATTAACCGTTAAAATCCCCACTCGCAAACTTTGGGCAAAAACACCTCTGAATCCCTCGAATGGCTCACACCAGACACTCCAGAATTACCCAAATGTCCAGGGGCCTCATGTACTAAGACTTGCGTGGAAATCTCACTAAAACATTACGTAGGCACAAATAATAGGCTGTAAATGTGCGTACGCAGAAAAAAAAATTAGATGTATGAAACATTGCGTACGCCGAATCTCACGCATATTCTTTTGTACATCCAAATGAACGTGAAACTGAGCGCAACATGCACAAGTACAAAACCCCTCCCTGCCTCCTCCTCCGTATGAATATGCTAATGACTCTACTTTTGCAAAACCCAACGAAAAAACAATGGCAAAAGCAAGCAAAAAGAAAAACTTTGAACAGAATGTGAATTGGAGGTGCTGCTTTCGGAGGTAGACCGGAGAAAAGCAGTGTTATTTGCAAGTTTGTTCTCCGGAATTAACAACAAAAGAAAAAAATAGAGTGGGAGAGTTTAGCTGATGTGGTTAACACAATTGGGTCTGAACATCGCACTGAGTGAATTAAAAAAGAAATAGTGTGATTTATAGGTGTAAGATGTTGCAGTTCCCATAACAGTCTCAGTGGCGCAGCTCGTAAGATGCATGTCAACATGTTTTGACACGTTCGAGCATGAACTCGGTTCGAATACAGCACACATTCCCACGTTCAGTTCATCGTTAGTAAATCCAAACGTGAGCGATTCTGAGCGTGAAACCTGGAGTACGCAAAGTTTTTGTGCGTACGCAGCGTTGATACATGAGGCCCCAGGGGCGCCACATCCTCCCGAATTCCCTGAATGGCCAGGTGCACCACATCCTCCAAAATTTCTCAAATGTCTAGGTGCATCAGACTCTCGAGTACCACAAAAGGCCGGAGCCGCCGCCTGAGTCCCACGTAAGGTCAAAGCCGCCACTTGAGTTCCACAAATGGCTGCCAGAGCCGTGTGACTTCCCTGACCCGCAAGAGCTGTGTGACTTCCCAAAGCCACCAAAGTTGTGTAATCCTTTAGTGCTTCCTGATCCAAAGCCTTTACGATTCCACCATCATCTCTTTACCCAGGAAACCACAAATAACTAAAGCTAAGCAAAGTCCCTGCCTGCTTAAGGTTCAACCATCTGTACACATGTAACCACAAATCACATTACTAAATGACTACAGACCATTTGCTTTAACATATGTGCTCATGAAGTCATTTGAGAGACTTGTGCTGACCCACCTCAAGGACATTACTGGACCCTTAATAGACCCCTTTCAGTTTGCTTGTAGAGCATACAGGTCCATGGATGATGATACACAGTACTGTGTATGGATGATTTTGAAGGAGATTATGGTTGTGCACCTGTCCAACCTTTAGGACCTTTCCAGAAAAGTCATTGTACATTTACAAAATGAGGAAATGCATACAGATCTTTATATTTATATATTTATTTTTTATTTATTTGCAAAATAACCGGCAGCCAAACTTATTAAAATAAGAATAAAGAATGCTCCGCTGAAATGTTGAGGCAGCAAAGTGGTGCAGTGGGTAGCACAATCATCTCACTGCAATAAGGTCATTGGCACAAGCCCTGGGTTGGTCAATTGACGTTTCTGTGTGGAGTTTGCATGTTCTCCCAGTGTTGTTAGGGTTTCCTCCGGATGCTCCGGTTTCCACCAGATGTCCATAGACATGCACTATAGGTGAATTGGGTAAGCTAAATTGTCTGTAGTGAATAAGTGTGTATGGAGGTTTCCCAGTGATGGGTTGCAGCTGGGCATCCGCTTAGGAAAACATAGGCTGAATAAGTTGGTGGTTCATTCCGCTATGGCGACCCCAGATTAATAAAGGGACTAAGCCGAAAAGAAAATGTATGAATTAATGAATCAATGAATCAATGAATCAATCAATCAATCAATCAATCAATCAATCAATCAATCAATCAATCAATCAATCGTTAAAATTTAAATGCCAGTTTTATCCAAAAAAATATTTATAGCCTACCAAACAATCCTAAAAGTTTTATTTAAAGATTTTTTAAAAAATCTCTTGATTAATCAGTCATTTGCTAAAACATCAAACTGAAGCTATTGGTTTAATGTTATGTACAGTATTTCAGTTTGCTTTTGATGGGGATGTAAAACTTACAGTGAAGCAATAATAATAGATGTCTAAAATAACTTTATGTATTTGTATGTTTCTCACCTTTCATCATGGGTATTAATTTCCATACTCCCAGTCCTCCCACAGATGTGTATTGTCCTAATGCTGTCTCCAACAGAAACAGTGGGATCCCAGCAAACACCAGAGTAGTGAAGTATGGGATCAAAAAAGCTCCTAAAACACAAAGAAAGTCACATTTAAATTTCAGACATAAACTGTAGTTTATGTATAAATGTAAATATATGCATTGGGTGGATATGATTTTGCTAACCCTGTTGAGAAAATCAGAAACCATTCGCAGAAGAAATAATAGTTTCTACTGAATAAAACTTTAAAAATACTACAAATCATAACATAATTTCATGGAGCCTGCTCATTTTTATGATTTCTCTTGTGTTTTTGAACAATCTCCTTCCTTTTTTTAGTAATAGCCAGTAGAAGGCAAAAAAAAAATGTATTGCCTAAATAATATTTAAAAATACCAGAAAATACCACAATTTAAATGATTAAAAAGTGTATCCTAATTTAGGTTACACCAATAATCAAATTTTTGAGTGTACAAATGTTGATAAAAATTGATAAAAGATTAAAACTTTAAATTAAAGATAACTGATTAATTTTACTTAAATTATTTAGGAGCAATAAATTAAATATTACATATATTTTACATGAAACTGAAAAGTTAGTTGTACTTGATATAAGATTAGAAAAAAGGAACTTTTATTCATTCATTTTCATTTTAGATTAGTCCCTTTATTAATCTGGGGTTGCCATAGCGGAATGAACCGCCAATTTATCCAGCACATTTTTACTCAGCGAATGCCCCTTCAGACGGAACCCATCATTGGGAAATAAAATGTATATTTTTGTTACTTATTTTACTCATGTAAATCGTTACAAGATGTTTATCAAGTAAATCTTTTAGGTCCCTTTTTAGTTTACTTGGTAAAATCATGTTAACCCTCTACATTAAAATCTAAACAAGCTTTGAGATGGTTTTATATTCTAAAACTGCTTACAGAAGAACTGATTTGTGTAAGCTAAACTAAACAAAACAAATATATTCTTGTGAATGGTTATTGGAAGTCAATAGAGGAGAGACTTCAGTGAAAAAAAACTTCAGTGAATCTGTTACATCGCTGGGGGTATTCCAGAAAGCAGGTTATGTGACATACCCATAAGTTTAAGGCCGTACTCACACTAGGTACAGTTGCCTCGAACCGGGCCAAAGCACGCTTTTCCCCCCTCCCGTCTCCCCCAACGATCCGCACTCACACCACAAACGGGCCTTGGCACGCTTACGTCAACGCTGCTGCGCTGTTCAGTGAGAAGCGCTCTCTCACTCAGCAGCACAGTGGAGATTTCTCTAGTTATATAATTTCAGTCGTTTGTTATGCAGTGACATGCAGTAAAATATTTCGCCAAACAGTCCTTAGGGATACGGTGACACGGTCAGATATTTCGCCGAACAGATCCGCCACTTTTGGCGCTCATAAACAATCATAAAGCTCTCATCCTGCAGGAATGAGGAGGTTTGCTGAAGGTGCGCAGCTCTCATGCAGTGAGGAGTTTGCGTTTTAATAAACTACGGCAGTTTGCGTTCACTGAACAGTAAGAATGATTAATGAATCTATATGAAACAGCCCCTAAAAGTCAAGTCACTCAAATGTGCTTTCAATTTCGGGCTTTGACGCATTTTGCACTCACACACAAGCGTACCGTGCCAAAGCCCAAGTGAACCGCGCTCAGGCACACCTCTTCCAACCGGGCCAGGGCCGGCCAAGTGAACCATGCTTGAGCCCGATTCAGCGCACTCACACTTCTCAAACGATCCGGGAAACGGGCGGGGGGCACGGTACGGATGGCATAGTGTGAGTAGGCCCTAAGAGTAAGTAAATGGATAACCTCAGCTTTTAGTTCCAAAAACTGAGGTAACTTTTGGGGTATGCTAAGTAATGTGGGAATATAAATTGTTATAATCTATATATAACTAAAAAAGTTATATTCTTTGGTTTTTAGGGTGAGACAGCAGTGGCATTGCGAGGGGGGCGGGGGTGGGGCTTTGGGGGCTTAAGCCCCTGATGTATTGTCAAAAGCCCCTGATCTTTTGGAATATGTTGCACTTAAATAAAAATAGGTTGTATAACATTTTTTTTTGTTATCGAAGTCCTTAAAATTAGCACATACATCATGCGGTCCACTTAATGCAGCATATGTGTCAGGTAATTAAACAGTCACCTGTTTCTACTGGCAGGTGGGAGTGGCTCTGTTGTCACATGGTTTAAAAAAAATTCCGTCACTGCTCTTCATTCATTATTTTGAGGAGCTGATGCTGATGAGGTAATAATACAACTGTTTCGCGAAACTGAATAGTTCTAACTACTGATGAAGCTTAATATTTGTTTTCACTGTATAAAATGTGTGTAGTTTTGGTGAAATAAAATAACTGTAGGTAATCAATAAAATGTGCATCGTATTAATGTAAGAACATGTGAATTAGTCAGAAAAATTTAAATTGTACTTGCTTTCTAGATATGATATAGATATCTAGACATCTTTATCTAGATATGATATAGCCATCTGTTTCTGTAATAGTTAAATCAGTGAGTTCATGTATCTAGCATATTATTTTATAGCTATATTCTACTGTAACATGCAACAGATTATAAATCGACTTTCTTATGAAAACACCCAAGATGGCTGAAAGAACACATACAGTTAAAGTCAGAATTATTAGCGACCCTGAATTAACAGCCCCCCTGTTTATTTTTTTATCACATTTCTAAACATAATAGTTTTAATAACTCATCTCTAATAACTGATTTATTTTATCTTTGCCTAATGACAGTAAGTAATACTTAACTAGAATTTTTTAAAGACACTTCTATACAGCTTAAAGTGACATTTAAAGGTTTTAAAGGCAGGTTAAGGTAATTAAGCAAGTCATTGTATAATGATGGTTTGTTTTGTAGACTATCAGAAAAAATATAGCTTAAACAGGGTAATAATTGTGACCCTTAAATGTTTTTTAAAAAAAAAATTAAAATTGCTTTTATTCTATACGAAATAAAACAAATGAGACTTTCTTCAGAAGAAAAAATATTATCAGATGTTATATGATGAAACATTTTTCACATGATGTTTTCACAGATGAAAACAGTTATTGAAGCAGTCTTGTAAATTATCAGTGAAAGCCTTTTTATGTTTATTCAGAGCTTATTTTCGTTTAACTACAGCAATGGATGGATTTCGTAGTCTATATTAGGGATTTCCTGGAATGTTCTGCTACTTTTGTGAGGCAATTTCTGCTCAAGTATGAATGAAACAGGCATTACATGCATTTAAATACAGTGCAAATACAAACAAACTACAAACATATTAATACAAACTACAATGCCCTCATTAACCTATTTTGAGGAAAACTAAATAAAATCGCTCTCTAAAGAAATTTGTAGTAAATATATTTCTAGCATATAAATCTTTATTTTTATTATTTGTACTATTTTGATACAATTGTTATTATATCAAAAATAGTAGCTATTGAATATCAATATTTTATGAGGTATTGAATTTAGAAATTTCTTTGGGGCTAAACCCCTTATCCCTTTTGACTCTATAGCAACGCCCCTGTGTGACAGACCTTAAAATGTCTTGGTTTCCTGAGCCCTGACTGTCTCCAAAGTAATGCAAATTGTCAGTTTTACAGCACAGCTGTGTCTGTGGTCTAACAAATGGTCAACTGGTCGGATGGTTTCTGTTTATAGAACATTATTTGCACACTATTTTCACGCTAAAATGTATGTATGTAAATGTATGTATGTATGTATAGTCTGTATTGCTGCGAATTTCCTAAAAGAGCAACACAGTCATGTAGCACATCTTTTTCAAGACGTCGCTGAAAGTGCGTTTCTAGATGTTCTAGATGTTTCCTCTCCCTGGATGATGGGCACAAGCACTGCATTTCATGTCCGGAGGTCCAGCATGTTGATGAGGTGCTTGCAGGCAGTGCATGCCATCACTGCGGTGGAATCTTGCAAAAGGGCCACCCACCCCAGTTGTCTTCTGCTCCGCGTTGGGCACTCGTGTAGATCTGAGGACTACAGTGGGAGTAAATCCACTGCCTCTCGCTCATCCACACGCTCCATCTAAGCTTCGAGTGAGAGAAATGCTCCGTCCTCGGATGGCCGCCCTCTCACCTGATGACACTGAGGCTCAGATGTCCATTGCTGTATTGGAGGACAGGTTGTCATTGTCTGATGAGGATTCGAACCGGCTCCCTCCCTCAGGGGTAGTGAGCGCGACATTGAATCTAGAAGCAGACACGATAACTGAACTTTCCTGGGTTGCTTCAGTTGTGGGCCTGAAGATGGTTTATACGACAGCCCCGAGGCCGAACCGACTAGATGGGTGTATGTAAAGGATGTAAAGAAAGCAAGACCTTCTAAGCCTCCATCCCTTTCTTCCCGAAGTGCACAGTAGGCTCATGCAGTCTTGGAGAGCACCTTTCTCTGCCTGATCTGCATGCACCTCCGCCCTCATCATCCTTGAAAATGGAACAGCCAGGCATGAGTCGATTCCCCAGATTGAGAGTGCCATTGCGGGCCTGCGTGGTGCCTCTTCCTGGTGTAGTCAGCCTTGTTTCCTGTCCAAGGCATGTGGATTGTCTGCCTCCTTTGGAGCAGAGCCTACATGTCCACGGGCCAGGCTTCTTCCACCCTGCAAGCTATGGCCACCTACGACGACACCATTGGTGAATTCACCCAGGAATTCACAGCGGTGCAGTCGGATGCGATAGGCAGAGTTATCTATTGGTGGGGATATAAGACCGCTCCCCCTGCCGAACCATCCACATCCACTGCTTCTCACCAAGGGTGCGTTTAATGCACTGGCTACACAGCTGGCCCACATTTCTTCAGTGAGCCTACTTGCACAAATACTGTGCAAAGTCAGGGAGGACAAGAAATAGGTCTGTTTATTGCCCCTCTCTGGTTCAGTTGGACCTGAGTATCAACTCTCCTAGTGATCACCCCTCCCTGGCACATCCCCTGGAAGAACCTTCTTTGGGACAGACATCGTTTGGTATCCTTACCCAGATCTATGCCTCTTGTATGGTCCATAGATAGAGCGCGGAGGACTTAGTTGATCTACCGATTAGGTGTTTAACACCATCACTCAGGCTATACTGACAGTGGTATACTTTATCTAGAAGGACCCCGAACATGCCAGATCAGTGTGATGTTATCCTCCTTCAGTTTACTGAAGCTAAGGCTGTCCCCTTTGCACTGAGAGGATGGCGTTATGATAATCCCCACTCTGAGGATACACTGGGGAAGCATTGCCTCATCATCTAATTACTAGAGGCGCGAGAAGTGTATATTAATTCTATCCTGTTCCCCTTTCATACTGACTTGGAGATCTCTCTGAGGAGAAATCTGCTCGATCATTTGACTCAGTATCTTTAACATTTCTGACCAGTTAGACAGCTCTGCTGGTTGCGTTGGCATCAGTCAAAAGGGTGGGTATCTGGAGGCATATCTGGTCAGCGAAATGTGCCAGTGTTTTGAGCCTGCCCACTCTCCTTTTTTTCCTGAGACCCCCGCCCACCTAGGTGCCCTAGGTTCTAACAGCACTCTTTTTAGACTACATAGTGAAACTGCAAGAGCTGCCCATGGAGGAGGCAGACCTAGTCCCTTTATGTGTCCTGTTTGCGCTTTGCGCATTATACAGACTGTACTCAGAGCTTTTAGATCCTCTGAGCAGCTCTTTAAACAGAGATTGGTACTAGAGCTGTAATTGGGCCATCAAAATCAGGCCCGATAGGGCCCGAGCCTGACAGAATTCGGCCCGAGTCCGACAGGTACATTTTGATTGACAGCTCTATAAAGCCCGAACCCGTTTATAGCCCGACATTATTCGAATGTGCACAGGCACACAGTTCTTTTGCCTTTTTTCAAGATCATTTATATGTGTTTTAACATTATTTATTAGTAACATAGGCTATAGGGCACTTGGAAGTTGGAACAAAGAAATAAAATAAGTCCTCTGTAACATCGTAACGTCTCAGCACTCTAAATAGGCCTAAGTACATACACTCAGCCTTTAAATTGGCCAACACACCAAGTCTTTCTTGACAAATCAAATTAAAATAAATTGTAAATTACGATGGGCTTTTGGCAATAACGAAATTAAGATAAACGCTCTGCGAGATTTGTTTAGCCACTTTTCTTCACAATTTGGCAACGGTGAAGCTGAATATTAAAAGAATAGCCTATGCCAAAATTAACTTGTATACTCTGTCTACTTTACGATTTTATGGTTTAATTAACAATTATTTATCATTTTAAAAACTCTTTACTCACCAAGATTAAGCTGTGTTGTTGTGAGGGAACATTATTGAATCCACTGTGAATTTCTTTAGCGCAGTCCTGCACTCAGGATGGTACGTCCATCAGCGCCAAACACCCATTCACTGCTGTTGCTACAGGCCGAGATGCATAGTTCTTATCTGGCTAATTTTGCAAATTTTGGGTAGGATTGTTTGTTCATCTTCTACCAGCCAAGAACATCCACTTCATTTTCCATGACAGGGATTTCAATACAGCGAGTGGCCTTGTCATCTTCCCTGTCAGCTTGCTGTACATACATTGCTGTTTGGTGTTTAGCGCTCCACAGAAATACGAGAGTGACCGCCAAAATACCTTCGCGGTTAGAATGACTGTTCTTATTGAACTTTTTTCTCACCGTGGAATTTTTATGGTGATTCGTGAATTTGTCCACTTAAAATGTCTCCAATTATGCCCCATGCATGCACATTAACTCGCGGTTATATTCAGGAGGTTGATATAACTAACCATTATCAGCTGTTTTGGAATCGACATTTTCACAGTAAGCAGATTTTCGATTAATCAATCGAGAGTTCAGGGTTTAGCAGATGGTAAATTAACCCATCTTTCTGGAATACCCCCTGGTGTGTCTGTGTTCTGTGTCATGAAATGTCCCTTATGCTGTGTTCCATGTGCATGTGTTTTTGTCATGTGACTACTTTGTTCTGTTTTGTTGTGTGTTAATGTTCTTTAGTTCCACCTGTTGTCTCATCCCTTTTTGTAATCTGTTCAATCTTGTCCTTTGTATTTATACCCACTCTATTGGTTTAGTTCTTTGTCTGGTATTGTTTTGTCATTTATTTTAATCTCCTTGCCATTCCTGAAGTTGATGGTCCAGTGCCTGTTGTGAATGTTTTTTGTTAATAAATATGTGTTCTTTTGGTAACTCCTGAATTTGTGAAGTGAGCCCCTATGACATAATCTCTGAGGCTACTTCTGTTCAGAAATGTAATGCCGATAATGTTTATTAGCATTAGATCACAAAGTGTCTAAATACTATATTATTTTTTGTTGATATTTCCGTGTTGATCATTTGAGATTGTAAGCAGAGAGGCCTACAAACCTATTGTGTCAAAGATGGTTTCTGCTTGATGAAACTGCAAATCTTCAATAAACTTTTTTTGATCAAATCTCTGATTTCAGCTCTTCTTCACCTGACATACTGGCCATTTTTGAATTATACATGTTTGTTCCCAGCATAGGTAATAGTTCTTAATAAATAAATGCTAGTGAGTGGTACAGTGGCTAAGTGGTAATCACTGTCAAAGAACGTCACTGGTTCGAAACCTTGGTGGGCCAGTTGGTATTTCTGTGTGTAGTTTATATATATTCATTTTCTTGTCGGCTTAGTCCCTTTTAATAATCCGGGGTTGCCACAGCGGAATGAACCACTAACTTATCCAGCAAGTTTTTACACAGCAATTGCCCTTCCAGCCACAACCCATCTCTGGGAATCATCCACACACACAATCACACACACACACACACACACACACACACACACACACACACACACACACACATACACTACGGACAATTTAGATTACCCAATTCACCTGTACCACATCCTTGGACTGTGGAGGAAACCCACGCGAAGGCAGGGAGAACATGCAAACTCCACACAGAAATACCAACTGAGCCGAGGTTCGAACCAGCGACCTTCTAGCACTACCTACTGTGCCACTGCCTCGCCATATATATATATATATATATATATATATATATATATATATATATATATATATATATATATATATATATATATATATACAGTTAAAGTCAGAATTTTTAGCCCCCCTTTAAATTATTTTTCCCATTCAATATTTCATCATAAAACGATATTTAACAGAGTAAGGATTTTTTTTTCACATTGTTTACAATAATATTTTTTCTTTTGGAAAAAGTCTTTTTTGTTTTATTTCAGCTAGAATAAAAGCAGTTTTTGATAAATAAATAAATCAAATCAATCAATCAATCAATCAATCAATCAATCAATCAATCAATCAATAAAAACATATATTCATTCATTTTCTTTTCGGCTTAGTCCCTTTATTAATCCGGGGTCACCACAATGGAATAAACCGCCAACTTATCTAGCACTTTATTTTACGCAGCGGATGCCCTTCCAGCCCCAATCTCTGGGAAACATCCACACACACTCATACACTGTGGACAATTTAGCCAACCCAATTCACCTGTACTGCATGTCTTCGGACTGTGGAGGAAACCGGAGCTTGCGGAGAAAACCCATGTGAATGCAGGGAGAACATGCAAACTCCACACAGAAACACCAACTCATCCAGCCAAGGCTCAAACCAGTGACCATCTTGCTGTGAGGCGACAGCACTACCTACTGCACCACTGGGTTGCCTAAATAAAAACATTTTAGGGTAAATATTATTAGCCCCCATAAGCTATAGATTTTTTCAATTGCCTACAGAACAAACCACTGTTATATAATGACTTGCATAATTAACCTGACTTGCCTAATAAATTGCCCTTTAAAATTGCCCTTTAAAAAAGTGAATACTAGTGTCTTGAAAATATGTAGTAAAATATTACGCACTGTAATATTTTGTAAATATTATGCAAATATAAAAGAAATTAATTATTAGAAATTAGTTATTAAAACTATTATGTTTAGAAATATGTTGAAAAAATATTTTCTTCGTTAAACATAAATTAAGAAAAGATATACAGGGGGGCTAATTAAGAGGGATTAATAATTCTGACCATACTTCTTATGTCTGGGCGATATGGCCTTTTTAAAAACACCTCATTAATCAATTTATATATATATATATATATATATATATATATATATATATATATATATATATATATAAATATATATATATATATATATATATATATATATATATATATATATATATATATATATATATATATATATATAGAGTTGAAGTGAGAATTTTCAGACCCCCTAAATTAATAGCCCCTCTGTTTATTTTTTCTCCCAATTTCTGTTCAACGGAGAAAAGACATTTCTACACATGATAGTTTTAATAACTCATTTCTAACAAATGATTACTCTTATCTTTTTTATGATGACAGTACATAATATTTTACTAGATATTTTTCAAGACACTTCTAAACAGCTAAAATGACATTTAAAGGCTTAACTAGTTTAATTAGATTAACTAGGCAACTTAGGGTAATTAGGCAAGTCATTCTATAAGGATGGTTTGTTCTGTAGACTATTGAAACAAAAATAACTCAAAGGGGCTTATAATTTTGTCCTTAAAGCTTTTTTTTTTTTTTTTTTAACTAAAAACTGCTCTTATTATAGCCTCTTATTATAAAACAAATAAGACTTTCTCCAAAAGAAAAAAAATATTTTCAGACATAATGTGAAAAGTTCCTCACTCTGTTAAACATCATTTGGGAAATATTTTAAAAATATATATATACATCTAAAAATTAAACGGGGGCAAATAATTCTGACTTCAACTGTTGTATAGAAATTGTTTGATCCAACTATCAGTCTAACAAATTCACCTGTCTTCTCTTACCTCCACCATTCTTTCCACACAGATATGGGAACCTCCACACATTTCCAAGACCAATAGCATATCCAACGCAGGACAGAAGGAAGTCAAATTTTCCTTTCCAGCTTCCTCTATCTGGTATTTTATTCTCCTTCTCTTCTACAGGAATGCTGTTGTGATCCAGATCCTCAAACGGGATAGCCTGCTTCATGTCTGAGGGTTTAGGAAGTTTAGGTCGCCTGTGGGACTTCTAGGAAAGGGATAAACATTAATTTTTATCATTGAATTAAGACTTAATTACATCATGTTGTGTATATTTGAGGATTTTTTTATTTTTTGGAAAAATATATACTTTTTTCAGTTGGTTATATGTCATTGCAAATACAGATACTAGATGTACTCATATTGCAGTCACAAACAAAAACATTTCCTCAAAGAAGACATTGAGGACAATCCAATGCAAGACCCAGAAGCAGAATGATAGTTAATCATTTATTGACAGTAGTTGCAACTAGACATAAGAATATAGACTGGAAAGTTGTGGGAGAATGCTGGAACCCACCTCAGGAAGCAAGACCAAGACAGATAACTGGGCAAAGATTAATGAAACCAGAGAACCCAAACACTAAGCTTTTTGGGAAATTATTCCAACTAACTTCTTAAGCAACGATGCTGATGCTGAATTGTACACTATGCAGTATAATATATTACTATATTTAACCCATTATGTACAAATTACAAAATTCTATTTTGTATTTAAAATACATATTTGAAATACATATATCATAAATTCAGCCCATCCCTGCTTGTGCTGCTGTAGTCTAATATGCCGACGGTGTGGTAAGAACTGTACTTCACTTGTGTTCCAAAGGGGTTTGTTCTTCAACGTCTTTAACAAATATTTAGCCCTTTTTTCAGGGATGTTTTTTGGATACAAGTAATTTTCTAATTAAAAATTTAATTTAAGAGCTTAGGGTAACACAATTTAATGCAACTGCAAAACTGCAGTATAATGAGGTATAAACACAGTTCAACTACAATGCAATAAAGTTCAAAAGCATCAACATCTGCAGTACACAGAAGTAACATTAAAAAACTGAGAGGGGCAATTTAGTGATATGTTATATAATGTATTGTACTTAGGTATATAAGTAATAAAAGTGCACTTTAATTTTATTATGTATTGCCGTATTGTAGATGTATTTCTGTAGTTAATTACACTTATGAAAAGTGCCATACAATATATTGTGGGAACTGAAGTGCTAAAACCTCATTTGGAAACCATTGTCCACTGAGCAGGAAAAATTGTAGTTGTATTGCAGAAATACTTCAGTTGTATTGCAAGAGCGGTATGGCAGTTGGAGTAGTACTTCAGCTGTATTGCCGTAGCAACACAGTGGCTGTAGTACTTCAGTACCATTGCAGTAGTTGTACTGCAGCTGTACTGTAGTAGTAATCCAGTTGAATTTCAGTAGTTAATAATAATAATAATAATAATAATAATAATAATAATAATAATGATAATAATAATAATAATAATAATATTGGTTAATTTTATTTAAAGGTGCCGTTCTTGACACTCAATGTCGCTGTACAGCACAGCTAGAACAATCAGTTCAAATAAAAACACAATAAAAGTCAATAGAATACAATATAAATTTTAAAATTGCAGTCAGGTTAAAGAGAATAAGCTTTTCTAAACAGATGTGTTTTGAATTTGGATTTAAATTGTGAAAGAGAGTCTAAATTAGTGAGATCCTGAGAAAGTGAATTCCAAAGCTGAGGAGCAGAGTGGCTGAAGGATCTGCTTTCCATCGTGACAAGGCGGACAGGAGGAACAAGAAAAGTGAGGGGAATTAGATTAGATTAGATTCAACTTTATTGTCATTACACATGTACAAGTACAATGCAACAAAATGCAGTTTAGGTCTAACCAGCAGTGCAATAGCAGCAAGTGCAGGATACAGGAATAAGTGCAGTTATAGAAAACTATGGTGATATTTACAGATGGATGTACTATGAACATTATATACAGGTTGGATAAGCTATGAACAGATTTACAATATATGAATATATGTGCAGGTTGCTATTAATAATCAGTAGTGTGCAGATAGATAAACAATGGAAGAAGAAGACCTGAGTGTTCGAGAAGGTGTGGCGATATGAATAAGATCAGTACGGTATGGAGGAGCAAGATTGTGGATGGCTTTAAAAGTGAGAAGTATTTTATAATTAATTCTGAAAGACATGGGAAGCCAGTGAAGCTGTTGTAGAATGGGTGTGATGTGACAGATAGAGGGGAGTTTTGTGATACGGGCTGCAGCATTTTGTACCCATTGTAATTTATGAAGAGTTATATTACGGAGGCTAAACAGAAGGGAATTACAGTAGTCTAAATGGGATGTGACTGTCACGGTTGCAGGTTTGTGCGCTTCTCCGGAGTGTATGTTTGATCACGTGGGTTTGTTTTGTTTTGGTTATCCATGTGGATTTGTTAGGCTCACGTGTTATGACGACATTCAGTTGGTCTGATTAGTTCGCCAGCTGAGGCTCATCATGGTGCCTATATCTGGGCGACGCTTTTGTGTGTCTGTGTCAGTTCGTTATTATCACTCATGTTTGTGTGTCTGTGCTCAGGCCCTGCGGAGTTATCTGGATCTGGTTTCCCCGTTTGTTTCCTGCCCTGCGTTCTGCGTCCTTCTAGCCTGGCACTATTTGTCTTTGTCATCACAATAAACTTGTACACTTGCAATTGGATCTTCTCTGACTCTCTTTGAAACGTTACAGAACGAACTGACCTTTACATGGATCCAGTGAGTGTTTCCCAGATCTCCGAGTTCGTCTCCCACAGCAACGCTCGGATCGATCGTCAGGATGAGGCCCTGGCCACCACGGCTCAGGCGATCCAGGCCCTGGTTGGCAAAGTTTCATTGCTCACATCCCAGGTCCAACAACTGGTTACTCGTGCTGCACAGGCTGATACTGCACCTGCCCCCGAGACTGCACCGACCCTGGAAGTGTCACCAGCGCCTGCGGTTCCTGGTCGCTCTGTTGAGCCGCGTCTTCCACCTTCGACCAGCTACTCTGGAGAGCCTCTCTTGTGCCGATCCTTCCTGTCTAAGTGTTCCCTTTACATCTCGCTGCAGCCGTCATTATTTTCCTCCGAACAATCTAAGGTGGCATTTGTCATCACCCTCCTTTCGGGAAAGGCGGCTCAGTGGGGAACAACAGCTTGGGAACAAAAGCTACCATGCTGCTCTACGTTTGACCTGTTCTCAAAAGAACTTAAGAAGGTCTTTGATCGAGCCGCTTCAGGGAGAGAGGCTGCCCTAGTCCTCGCTGAACTCCGCCAGGGGAATCGGAGCGTAGTGGAGTACTCGATTGAGTTCCGAACACTAGCCGCTGAATGCGGCCGGAACGCGGAGGCACAATGGGACATGTTTCTGCACGGATTGTCTGATCGTCTGCAAGATGCGATCTATTCCTTAGATCTTTCTAAGACTCTGGACGAGCTGGTGGATTTGGCCATCAATGTGGACACCAGACTGCTTCGGCGTGAGACTCGCCTGCAGCAGAGCAGATTTTCGGATTCCGTTCCTGACTTTCCGGCATTAACTGCGGCACCGGAAGCGGTAAGCGCTGACCCGGAACCCATGCAGCTGGGGAGATCCCGCTTGTCCGTGCAAGAAAAGCGCCGATGGAGAACGGAGGGACTCTGCCTCTACTGCGGAGGGGCGGGTCATCGGGTGGCTTCCTGTCCCGTAAAAGACGACACCCATCAGTAGGTAAGGGGTTACTGATGGGTGAAATTAATTTGGACAAATCCTCTACGGCTGCCACTTTATTGCCCGTCACTGTATCATGGGGTTCCGGAAGTCATGACACCCATGCCCTCATCGATTCCGGGGCGGAGGGAAATTTCATTGACTCCAGTTTCGCTTTCAGTTCTAAACTTCCGGTTATTGCACTCTCACAACCCATTGCAGTACGCGCCCTCAGTGGGCTTTCCCTTCCCACTATCACTCACTCCACCAAACCCATAAAACTTATCACGTCTGGAAATCATGTTGAACACATTTCATTTTTTTTAACAGACTGTTCCAACTCACCGGTGGTTTTAGGACATCCATGGTTAATTGTTCATAAACCTCACATTAATTGCGGTCTTAATTCCATATTTTTGTGGAGTGAGAAATGTCATGAGTCTTGTCTTTCGTCTGCTCGTTCTGCTGTTTCTTGTTCTGTGTTTCAGGAGGAGCGCATGGACCTGTCAAACGTGCCCAGTGAGTACCTCGACCTGAAGAGAGTGTTCAGTAAGTCTCGAGCTGCTTCTCTGCCTCCTCATCGTCCCTATGACTGTGCAATAGACTTATTGCCAGGTACTTCTCCGCCTAAAGGCAAGTTATACTCTCTTTCCATTCCTGAGAAGAAGGCCATGGAGAAATATATTTCTGATTCTCTAGTGGCCAAGATCATACGGCCCTCTTCTTCTCCGGCGGGGGCGGGGTTCTTTTTCGTAAAAAAAAAGAAGGATGGGTCTCATAGACCTTGTATAGACTATCGAGGGCTGAACAGCATCACGGTGAAGAATACGTATCCTTTGCCGCTGATGTCTTGAGCGTTCGAGCGTCTGCAAGGGGCTTCGTTTTTCACGAAATTAGATCTCCGCAACGCATATCATTTGGTTCGCATGAAGCAGGGTCATGAGTGGAAAACCGCGTTTTTGACCCCCAGGGGGCATTTTGAATATTGTGTTCTTCCTTTTGGGCTTTCTAATGCTCCTGCGGTTTTCCAAGCACTCGTAAATGACGTGTTGCGAGACATGATAGATCAGTTTATTTATGTCTACCTGGATGACATTCTGATTTTTTCTCGTTCTCTCCAGGAACATGTGCAGCACGTCAGGCGAGTGCTTCAGCGGCTGCTAGAGAATGGGCTTTTTGTCAAGGCGGAGAAATGCGTGTTCCATGCACAGTCTGTTCCCTTTCTAGGACACATTTTGTCAGTCGAGGGGGTGCGCATGGATCCAGAGAAAGTTCAGGCTGTAGTGAATTGGCCAATCCCCGAGTCTCGTAAGGCCCTGCAGAGATTTCTGGGCTTCGCTAATTTTTACCGCCGTTTTATTCGCAATTTCAGCCAGCTCGCCGCCCCTCTGACGTCCTTAACCTCCGCCAAGACGCCCTTCAGGTGGTCGAGTGCAGCACAGGTTGCATTCACTAAACTAAAGAGCCGCTTTGTTTCAGCTCCTAT